TAAAACATTCGAAATCTAAAATATTTGATTTCTATTTTATAGCAGAACTTACTTTCACTAAATTTTAGTATAATAATGTGCAAGTTTGAATTAAAAGTCAACGGTAGTAGGCTACTCGTAAATTTGAATAGGTTACAAAACTGCATACCCAAAAAGTTTCTAAAAATTCTGCATTTTCGTGAACTTTGCGTAAAGTTTTATGGCCTTGTTCATAAAAAATAAAAAAGGTTTATAAACTGAAAAATGTATGAAACTGTCATTTTATTAAGCTCGTTAAACCTACTTTATTTTTTATGAATAAGGCCATTAAACTTTAACTTATTTGGTTTATGTTATGCAACAGACTACACGCAATTTCAGTTTATTTTAAGTGATGGACAAAATTGAATGATAGTAATCCATATAAGCAAAAAAAAGCAATGGAAGAAAAAATTTAAAAAGTGTGTTTTATAAACAGTATTCGATACTACGAATACTTTGCAAAGTATCGAGTATAATCACCAAATAAAAATACTCATTTTTATACCCTCAGTATCGATACTTACTCAATATCGATAGTATCGTTCGAACCCTATATTTGAGTTCACTGAGGAAGGTGGTTCGCAGAGATACTTCGCTGCAAATTTAAACAAATTTGGAAAATCTTTGCGACTGTGCTGGGTGGCTATAAATATTTGTGTGGTCTATTTTGCGCATTATGAGAATGCTCAGATTTTGCATTTCCGAAATTCTTTCATAGTAAGTGGATTAGGTCATTTAATCCTCATTTCTGCTCCAAATATGGTGATACGGTCTAACATATACACATTCATACATAGTATATGTATGTATGTATGTACTTGTAAGCATGCGATTGCGTCAATTGCTGACAATTGTGTTATACGCCCCCCAGATCTGCCTAAAATCTAGACTTCTAGATTCATCTCCGGTCTTTAAGTACAGTTAGATAGTTGTCATCAAAACACAACGCCGCTCATCGTTCCATCTCTCAATATTCGCACATGAAACTTATGTATGCATGTATGAACTTATGTATATGCGAATTTCAGCAAATTACACAACCAAGCTACTCTACAAGGTACACGAACAATAAATAACAGTTGCCTATTCTACAACTTTTTAGTGATGCACGATTACATATACATATATACATAGTACCTACATACCCTGTAGGAAAATCCAATGTATGGTGATCGAAAAAAAATGCCGTTTTCACATTCCCAAATGCATTTTTCCCCACGGTGATTCCTAAGAATAAATTTTTTTGGAACTTGTTAGATTATTAGAATGCTGATGCCCGGATTTCTATGCATTTACATGTTCTTTTGGTAAGTCATAGGAACTTAAAGATTAACAAATGTTGCGAATCAAGAGTTTTGTGTGATGACATCGCATATTTTTACATATTTTGTCTTAAATGCATAAATGTACTATAAGCATATTTTGTCAAAAAATCATATTTAATTGCATTTTTTATTAAACGTCGTTTGTCTAGAACGGACGAATCACTCCAGAATTTTGAGAGCATTTTATGATTCCATGCAACTATTGGGTAATGATTTCGAAAAGTCGAAAATTCTTTTATATGCCACTTACGCAGCTCCAGATATCGAGCCCTAACCGCCAAAAAACGTAATCGATTTTTTTTCCAAAATTTCCTCTTTGATGCAGAATTTCATCTGGATGCTCTAGGAGCATTACTGTATCAAAAAGAAAATTTTTGAAAAATATGTCGCTTACGTTTTACGTACATTAAATATTAACGAGATAGGGAACCTGGTTAGAGACGGAAAAATATTATTGCCTACATTTTAAGGAATTTTAAACCTTTCTTAAAGACCTAAATGATAGTGACGCTTCTTCAATATTGAAGTCAAAAAAGCAATAGTTTCAAATTCGATTGAAGCACGGTTAGCCTATATCAGAGGTTCCCAAACTTTTTTTCTCGTAGACCCCTTTCAAAAATTTACTGCTTTCGGTGGACCCCCTGCTGATACATTTCTAAATATTCCCAAAGCTCGTAAAATAAGTAAATGTGAAAATTAGATCTAACAACGTAAATTTGCATCGCTGGTGAATTTAAAACTAAACTCAGAGTGGGCAAAATAAAAGTAAAACATATTCTTGTAGGTATATACACTTGTAGGTTTTAAAAAATGGAGCTCGTAAATACATCAAAATACTCTCTCGCTCGGAAGAGTTATATTCTTAAGAGCACAGCGAGCGCTAGCGTTATTTTCATTATCTTTAGCATAAAATCATCAAATGTAATGTAAAATAGTTTATTTGTGTTAATGGCATCATTTTTATTTTTATCGCTCCGACTTTTAAAGTGAGGCGAAAAATATTTATCACATTTTTAAAACACAAAACTTAAAACATCAAAATGGCTAAGCTTTTTACGCCAAACTTTTAATTCAGAAACTGACAGTACAGAAAAGAACGAGTTTAAAAAAATCGATGACAAATAACCAAGCAAGCAAGAAGAACAAAAAGTGTTTCACCGTCTCATCTTCTTCAAGGCAAGATGGGCAAATGGACTTGTCATTTACGCCTATCACAGTCAGGTCTTTGTGCTACGTGAAGTGACCAGTCAGCAGTCCAGCAAGTTGTCTGCAGTGTCGTCTGCTCAGTGAGAGAAAAAAATTAGATAGACCTTGTGAGACATGAGTTTTGCCCACCTGCATCGATGCCTCTCAGTCATTTCTGAGCAAAGTATTCACCCAGTTTCTGATGGTGGCTTCGATTGCCGAAGTTGGGAGTGCTAAAACTGGTTGCGGACCGAGGTATGCCTGGTCTGAGTCAACTCTGGCCAAATGATCAGATGTTTCATAACCAGGTACTCCAGAGTGACCTGGCACCCAGAGTAAAACAATCTCGTTATGTTCACCATCGTATTTTAGTCGAGACTTGCACTGCCGAACTAGTTTGGAAGTACTTAAATAGAGGGCTGGTCAATGCCTTAAGTGTAGCTTGGTTGTCACTGCAGTCACGCAAACTCCTTCCCCTCCACCTATGTTCCACCACGTAGTAGTAAATAAGGAGGCTATCAAGCAACCATTTTGGTTCTTTACATCTAAACCAGATAAATCTTCGTGGACCCCCATTTACAACTCATGGACCCCCACATTTTTTTCACGTCACCGTGGACCCCTGGGGTTCACCTGGAAACTACAGTTTCTTGTCTGAAATAATAACTAAATTTGAATGAAAAAAATCATTGGCTGAACAAGTGCATCTTGTGGAGACTGCTGTTACAACAAATCAAGGTGTGCAGGGTGAACTTGGGCAAATAGTCTAGGAAAAATTTGATACCATTCTAAATAATAAGGGGTTTAATGAACTTAGAGAATATCTGGTGTAATAAGTTCAAGTAGCCAAGTGACATCTGTAGTAGCTATAATTCCAATGAACTAGCTTGCTTCAAGTACGCCGAAATCACCAGTGTTGACGTAGAAAGAAAGTTCTTCTTATACAAAAAATGTTTGCGCCCAAATAGAGAAAGCTATAACTTTGAAAATTTTAAAGAACTATTTATCTTGTTTGCCAATAAAGCCCTGAACAAAGCAAATTAAAATAAATATTTACAATATATTACAATATATCCTTGTGTTAATTATAAACTTTTAATAAAATATGAAAAGTAAGTAAATAAATTAAAAATGGAAAACAAATGCGAGAAATCCTTTTGCATATTTAGTTTGTTTTTTGTGCATATTTTTGATTTAGTGCATACAAATCCGGGCCCTACTGATTACATAATAAACAGTAATAGAATCTAGAACTAATAAGAAATACATTACATTTGGGGGATTCACAATGGTGTCGTAAGTGTCTATTGTTGTATGTCGTAAAGTTTAAAAGCTAAAATAAATGTTTAGAGAACCTGAAACCACAACCAACATTTTTTAACACTGCGAAAATTCATATTACTTTGATGGTACTTTGCGAACCCCCGTACGACATTTACGACACCTTTGAGAATACCACAATTACGCATGTAATGTATTACTACTTTTCCCACTGGGCACATAGACTCATGTAAGTGTGTGTGAAATTGAAATTGCCCGTGTACGTTTGTCGCAATTTGTTTTAATTGAAGCACATTAAAATCAATTTAGATGAATAAATTCCAATATAGTGAGTACCTATGTGTATTGTGTGTGTGTATACTTATATAAAATATGTATGTAAGTAGAAATGGTAAATTTGAAAAGAAAGTACATGCCAAAGTCGTTACTTTAAAACTTTGTAGAAGCGTCTGTATAGTGTGTTCGAAAACATATATTTTATGCAATGAATTCGAACTTGGAGTAAAATTAATAATTCGGGCAATGTACATATATGAAAGTACATATGTATGTGTTTATTTGAGGAGATTTGTTTTTGTAAGCGAGCGACAAAAGAACGCTCAACTCGGGTAAAATTTCTGTTTAGCTACTTAAGACACAATGTCGGTAGATGCAAAAAAACAATGGAAATGAGTACCTAACTTTGCGAGGTATTTTCGTAATATATATACTTATTTAAAATGGAAGTCATATATATAAGGAATCAAAATTTTCCCTCTCCACTTTCCCATTAAAAATTCAATAGAGCAGTTTTTTTTCACTTAAAACACACACTCTTCAGGTCGCATATTTTTTAACCGACCTGGCTGAACTCGGATAAATATGTAGCCGAGTTTGTGTTGTTGCTTTGCATGTATTTCGTCATTTAAGCGAGTGTTCTTTTGTAGCTCGGTTGCAAAAGAACGCACCTACAATTCCCCAGTAACAATTCACAATAGAGCAGTTTTTTCACTTAACAACACTACTCTTCAGGTCGCGTATTTTTTAACCGACCTGGCTGAACTCGGATAAATATGTAGCCGAGTTTGTGTTGTTGCTTTGCATGTATTTCGTCATTTAAGCGAGTGTTCTTTTGTAGCTCGGTTGCAAAAGAATGCACCTACATATATATCAGTCTAGAGTGCTTCGTAATGTATGTATAACACCAACCTTAAGTATTTTATCGCGATAGAATGACAAATCACCAATCTTCTTCAGCTTAATTTCATAGCTTTGTCCCTGATTTAGATAGGTAAGGGTTTCTTCATTATTCTTGGTAGCTATAGACGTAGCAGCTGCCAAAATGTACTGAAATCTATAAATGCAGGTAGAAAGTTCCAATTATTCTAGTCATTAGTGTTGTATTATGTATTGTAAGGCTCACTTGTGATCATCGGAGTGTGCATTGGCATTATTGCCATTAACCCCACCACCTCCAGTACTGTTCTCAACTTTGCTTCCATCGACCACAGTCAACTGCTGTGAACCTGAATTTCCCTGTACTAATTAGGTTTTCGTATAAATAATAAATGAAAGAAAATTATGTTCATGAATATCTGATTGTGAAATGTATATCTTACCAGTAATCTTTTCTCCGCCACCGTAGGGTGAACCGGTATTACCAAATCCATTAGCTCCACTACTGTTGGACTTGTCGGCGTTATTGCCATTGTGTTCAATTTCTTGTGGTACGCCGGACTTCGGCGAACCACATCCACAGAGAGAATTGTTCAAGGCATTTTTGGAAGTGTCTTCAGTGGTCGCTGCCGTATCCACGTGCGATGCTGCCTTATCTAGTTTTGGTACACTTCCTCCACTGCCACCAACGGCAGGATGAGTATTTAATGGACTTTTATTGGAGACCTTCAACTGATCACTTTGAGGCTCCTGTTTCAGTACCGTCAGGGCCGGAGAGAATGACAAAAAGGATTCACTGTAGATGAGATCGGGCCATTATTAAATTAGTATAGAGTTCTCGTATTTAGAAGTACGTGCACTATTTAGGCTATGTGCGAGTTCTGCTATAAATTGTTATTCCATCTTAAGTGCCCAACATTACATGAAGCTAATATCGGACATTTACTATCTATTTTAAGGAGGCATTTTCAAGTACAAGTTTAATGATAAATAAATATTGTATATACATATGTATATAGATAATTTATTTTGCGCCAAAAGTCGGCGATTCCTTCCACAACGCTTTAATGTTGTTCAAATTAGGCTATATGATAAGTTTGAAATGTACATATGTATATATGCCATTCTCATGCACAGCCTTAGTAAGTTACTTATGGATGTTATTCTACTTCAATGTTGTTCAATTTAGGCTATATGATAAGTTTGTAATGTACATATATATGCCATTTTCATGCACAGCCTTAGTAAGTTACTTATGGATGTTATTCTACTTCTTTTTCAAACGTTTTCTTACTTGCTCAGATAAGAATTGCTATTAAAGTCGGTGTTCAAATCGAATCCAATATCTTCGGTCCAACTGCCACGTCCTGAAAGTAAATATGTTAAATTTAAAAGTTTTTAAACGAATTTTTAATGCAGGTAAAATATCGACATATGTATGTTTGTAAGTACAATAACATAACGTCGCCATAAATGCAAAATGCCACAATCTTTGATTAAATGAAGTACCAAAAATTAAAAACAAGTAATTTTTAGCAAAAAAAAACCTCTGAGACACTACCTTTCCGATGCAAAGAATTATCGAAATCGGTTGACGTGGTCCAAAGTTATGCGGTAACATACATAAAAAAAAAAAAATATTCCGACGAACAGATAACCTCCTCCTTTTTTGGAAGTCGGTTAATAAAATGTGTTTTATGACCAGAGTTTCCAGATTTGGAGATTTAGCGCCAATTTGGCTATTTTTTTTGGATATTTGCGCGTAAAAATTTAGGAAATCGCCATTGGCGATTTTTGGCGATTTTTCCCCATCAAATAAATTTTTTCCAACTATAAAAATATACACAACTTAGTTTTCCACGATAATTTTACAGAAGAGGCTAAACTTGGCTTGATAAACTTGGCTTAACAAGCATTTTAATATGACTGTTAAAAATTTTTAATCACTCTAATCGAAGAACTTTTGAAACGATTACCTAGTCAATTCAAAACTTTTAAAACTTTGGAAATATAAGTAAAGTAGCCTTGATATTATTATCCTTGCCGCACTCAAATGCTTTTGTTGAGCGCGTTTTTCCATAATGAATTCAACAAAAACTAAGATTCGAAATAGGATGAGGTTGGAAAGCCTTAAATCAATAGTTCGAATAAAATGTTATATGAAGGCTAATAGGTTTCTGATGCAAAACGTTTCCATTATCAAACAGTATGTTATCAAAACTCAATATATGACAACACAAATGTAAATGATTCAGACACTAAAGGTTATTTTGAAGAAATTGGGGAAATAACTGATCTCGCCTTATTATAGGTTTTTATTTTATTTTTAGCGCCGAGCGCGTAAAAGCGGATTGTGCGGTTAATCTACTATATATTTGTGAAAGTATGTATGTATGTGCCACGTTGCAGCCTAAACGGACGGACAGAATGGAACAAAATTTTGACAGAGTATTGCCATGACTCCTGGGCCTATAATAGGGTGAAAAAATTGGTATCCTACAAGGGTGCGTGGCACCTCCCATAGGCGTGAAAATTTTAGTCAGCCATAACTTCGGAACCATAAGTCGCATGACCTTGAAATTTGGTATACAGACATATAAATGATAGGTACTTATAAGAGGGTATATATAAATGAGTTTGTAGAAGGGGTCGTGGCGCATCCCATAGGCGTGGAATTTTTTATCAGCTATAACTTCGGAAAAATATGTCACTTGAAATTGGAAATTGGTACCAAGACTTATCTATGATAGGTGCTTATAATAGGCCCATAGGCGTGGAATTTTTTATCAGCTGTACCTTCGGAACCATAAGTCCCAAGAACTTGAAATTTGGTATGCAGGCATGTCTATGGTAGACGCTTATAGTATGGCATATATAAATGAGTTTGTAAAAGGGGGCATGGCATGGTGATTATAGGAGGGAATATATAAACGAGTTTGTAAAAGGGGGCGTGGCACATCCCATAGGCGTGGAATTTTTTATCAGCTATAACTTCGGAACCTTAAGTCATACGAACTTGAAATTTGGTGTGCAGACATATCAATGGTAGGTGCTTATAGGAGGGTATATATAAATGAGTTTGTAAAAGGAGGCGTGGCACATCCCATAGGCGTTGAATTTTTTATCAACTATAACTTCAGAACGATAAGTCGCACGAACTTCAAATTTGGTATGCAGGCATGTCTATAATAGGCGCTTATAGTATGGCATATATAAATGAGTTTGTAAAAGGGGGCGTGGCACATCCCATAGGCGTGGAATTTGTTATCAGCTATAACTTCGGAACCATAAGTCCCAAGAACTTGAAATTTGGTATGCAGGCATGTCTATGGTAGGCGCTTATAGTATGGCATATATAAATGAGTTTGTAAAAGGCGGCGTGGGACATCCCATAGGCGTGGAATTTTTTATCAGCCATAACTTCGGAACCATAAGTCACACGAACTTGAAATTTGGTATGCAGACCTATCACTGGTAGGTGCTTATAGAAGGGTACGCATAAGCGAGTTTGTAAAAGGGGGCGTGGCCCATCCCATAGGCGTGGGCTATAACTTCGGAGCCACAAGTGACACGAACTTGAAATTTGGTATGCGGGCATATCAATGGTAGATGCTTATAGGAGGGTATATATAAACAAGTTTGTAAAAGGAGGCGTGGCACATTCCACAGGCGTGGAATATTTCATCAGCTATAACTTCGGAACCATAAGCCCACTTAACTTGAAATTTGGTGTGCAGACATATCAATGGTAGCTGCTTATACGAGGGTATATATAAACGAGTTTGTAAAAGGGGGCGTGGCACATCCCATAGGCGTGGAAAATTTTATCAGCTATAACTTCAAAACCATAAGTCACATGAAATTTAAATTTGGTATGCAGACATATCAACGGTAGGTGCTTATAGTAATGAATAATGAGTTTATAAAAGGGGGCGTGGAATTTTTAATCAGCCATAGGTATCTATGGGAGGTGTTCAGAGTAAAATATATATAAATGAGTTTGTAAAAGGGGGATTTACATATATGTATTCATCTATTAGATAACTCGGATATTTAAAACTGTGTGTTTTTTTTTGTTTTGAAACCTTACCGTCTTTAGATTACTTTGAAATGGAAAGATTAAATCGTTTCTTAATCCCGCGATGCTGTTAAATGAAAAAGTTTCATTCATATTGAATAAAACTCCTTCCGAATTAAGCATTCTACCAGAAAAGTGCAGCTATACTAAAACAGCTAATCGGAGAGGCAGCAAAACGAAATGTACCGTGGTAAACTAATTTTATTTTAGAAATTTGATCGTTACCTCTGCTAGTCAATTAATATGAGTTATAATAAATTTAATAATTACGCAGTCCTATTGGAAAATGTGTTGATACAAATATTTTTAAAAAGTATGCGTATTTTTAAAGAAAATTGTTTGTACATCACTATTATATAAGTGATTCGTGTTACCCTGAGGGTATTATATTCGTTTTTTTCAACTATATTATAACAAGATCTCATTTTTAAAATAAATGATTTGTTAAGTCGACGTCATTAATTTAATTAAAAAGAAGGCGATTTTTGGCGATTTTTTTTAGAAATGGAGCTTTTTTTAACATTCCGGGCACCTTGTTTATGACAGATACCTTTTATGTAACTCTATATGAACAAGTAATTTTAAGCAAAAAACAAAACCGACTTCAATTCTCATATAAATATATATATATATATTAGGGCGGGTCAATTTTTTTTCGACATCGTTCCTAGCAGATTCGGATTCTACATAAAATTCTAAGAAAAAAGCCCTTTAGACCATAGCTCCAGAATCAATTTCGAGCCTGCGCAAGATGGCGCTTCAAAGCAAATCTACTATATATTTGTGGAAGTATGTATGTATGTATGTACCAGGTTGCAGCCTGAACGGATGTACAGAATCGAATAAAATTTTGCCAAAGTATTGTCATGACTCCTGGACCTATAATAGGGTAAAAAAATTGAAACTCGCCAAGGGGGGGGGAGGGGGATGAGGGGTACCTCCCATAGTGAAAATTTTTAATCAGCTCTAACTTCGGAATTATAGTCACATGAACTCGAAATTTGAAATGCACAGATACCTATGGTAGGTGCTTATGGAAAGATATATGTATATAAATGAGTTTGTAAAAAGGGGCGTGGCACATCTCATAGGTGTGGAATCTTTTATCAGCTATAACAGCAGGCAGTATTAGTGATCTCATTATATTGCATTTTGAAGATTTGTTATAATTGATCAAAGTGAAATTCAAATAAATTATAGATGATATGAAGTTCACCGGGTCATCTTCTAGTCTTTAATATATACTCAGTTAATATACGGATAAATATTTACTAAAGTGTTAGGAACGATATTTTTTTAATACCATAAGAAAAAAATACAGTATATTTTGCTTAGCTGCTCATCCTTCTTTGCACGAAAAACTTGTGCACTTAACCGAAAAAAGCACTTAAACGAATTTTCTTTACTACTTCAATGAGGAAGGTATCCGAATCCCTATGAAACCAATTAATGGAGGAGCACTTACCACGTAGAAATTACTGCAAGCGAAATTTTTACCGAATGGTATCTAATTATCTACATATATAACTACATTAATTGATAGCCATTTTCGTTGTTCTGCGAGATGAGAAAAATAAATAAAAGCTTGTAAAATTAGGTATTTGTAGGGCCAGTGCAGGTAAACCTACACCGAAAGAAAAGTCTCAAGTAAAACTAACATTTCTGTATTATCAATTTTACATTTCGCCAAAAAATGTCATATTAACATTGAAAATGATCAAAAAAATAGGTTTCACGTTTAATTGGTATGAAAACTGTTAAATCAACATTGGCA